ATTCGAAATCTTCGTGGTGGCTATCGAAACCAGGGATGAATTACCATCGGTTAAAACGCTCTGCATTAAGCTTATAGAACAAGGCGAATGAAGAGGGCACACTGTGTATGGTCCCCTTGAAGAATGTGCTTCATGTTCCAAAAATGCATGGAAATTTTAAGTCGCTTGGCAGTGCGGTGAAAAACAGATGCATGGTGAATCCAGGTCTGCAAAATGCAAAGGTCCTGCAAAACGGTCCTACTCACCTAGATTCACTTTTAGAGCTGATACATGCAGATGTATGTGGACCGTTTCCCACACAATCGCTGATGGGATCAAAGTATTTCCTGACGTTCATCGATGACAAATCCAGGAGGATTTTTGTTTATATCTTTTGCAAGAAAAATGAAGTGCTATCAAAGTTCAAGGAGTTTAAGAATCTGCTTAAACGGAAGACAGATAGAAAGCTGAAATTCCTTCCCACGGACGACGGGGAGAATTCGTCAACAAAGAGTTCGATGACTTTCTTCGTCATTATGGTATCGCTAGGCAGCTTATTGAAGATTACACGCCACACGTTTCTAAAAGGGCTAATAGGACGTTAGTGGAAGTGTCTAGATGCCTCTTTGTGCAGTCAGGACTATGCGAATCCTTATGGACTGAGGCTAATAACACAGCTGTTTATTTACTAAATCGTATACAAACGTGGACTGGTAAGAAACCTTGTATAAGACATGTAAAGGTTTTAGGTTCTATTGCGGTTGCTCTGGACGAAGGTCCACGAAATGTAAGGAAGTTTTAACCAAGGCAAGGAGTATAGTATGGTTGGATGCTCAGTGGCTGCCAAAGGCTATGTCTATACAACTTAACTACGTGACTAATAATTTAAAAAGACAGGTCCTTTTTGATGAAAATCATTATGCAGTAGATGATAATAAAGAACATATTGATTTTTTCCAGAAGCTCATTAAGATTGACGGTCAATATTCAAGCGAAACTGGTGGAGCTGATAGGAACAAAATCATGGGGGTTGCAAAGCTTATGGAAGAAAAGGATAATAAAGATAAAAAAGGATATACCTGTAGGGCCTGGTCGGCCGAAGCTCATCCGGACCCAAAGAGCAGCATAACATACTAGGTGACTTAGTGTCAGAAGATGTCCCGATACCAGCAACATTTAAAAAGGCTAGGAGGAGTCCGTGTTCATTCGAATGGCGTGATGCAATGCAAAGATAATACGATTCTTTTTTCGCAAACCAGATCTGGCATATGGAAGATTTACAAGAAAATCATCGTGCGATCGTATGCAAATGGGTATTCAACGTTAACCGCGACAAGTATGGCCAAATAGAACGGCTCAAGGCATACCCTTACAACCAAAGTGGAAGTGGAAGCCTCTCGCTAATCCTCGTGTATGTTGATGATATGCCCATCAGTAAAAAGGGAATTTGCTCAGGATCAAATCGAGTATCTCAAAGTCTTTCGAATATTTGGACAAAGGCTCACTAAACATTTTTTTTTTTGGCGTTTAGATAGAGCGTGATGCAGAGCTAGGAGCAATTTCCCTGGGCCATTCGGTGTATATGAAGGATTTACTGGAAGCAAATGACATTGAAAATTCAGACAGTCGACCACACGAGTAGATACAGGTTTCCAGGTAGCTTGCACACGCGATCAGTGCAAAAAGATTGATCCAACCCAATATCAATCTGCTGTTGGCTAGGTAATGTGGCTTTCACATACCACTAGATTTTTTGTAGGTCAATCGATTGGTCTTGACGAGACAAATACATTTCATTTTTGTTCCTGCTTGAAAATTGTGGGTGGCACATGTAACAAACTTGCGCTGCGTACGAAGCCCACGAATCTACATGCCAAATCCCAATTTACCAGCTTTTATACTCGTGGTTTCCGAGATCACAGCGTTCATACGGACGGACACACAGACGGATAGACGGGCATGGCTAGATCGACTCGGCTATTGATCCTTATCAATATATATACGTTATGGGGTTGGAAAAGCTGCCTACTACTAGTTACATACACTAGTCGGCATTAGTATTTTGACGAAACAAAAGAAATATATACTTAAATCGGACTATTTAACTTACTTCACGTACATTTAGGCATCAAAGGAAAAGTCATTTATAAATCGATTGAATGATACAAAACTTTTCTTAACACGTTTAGCACTTATTGAAAATGTCGAATTTTTGTAAAAGTCTACTTTATGAACTTTGTTCTTCGGCTGAAAACAAAAATGTTTTGATGATTAGTTTTCCGGAACAAAATTTATAGTAACTGCAAATAGAATTTTTAAAAATTTCTTTCTTATATATTTTTTTAATGTTTTTAAATGAGACGATCTCAGTCAAAAAACAAGAAAGGAAGTTAACTTCGCCAAGCTGAAACTTGTATACCCTTGCAGTTATAATTATTAAATTTAAAAATACAAATAATGATATTCCCAATTATATAAGATAATATTTTAGAAAACACCGAAGCTATAATATGTTTCATATTATTTTCCCACCAATTTTCCGATCGTTCATCGTCCGATTTTGATAAAATTAAATGCGAAATTCAGAACTAACTAAAAAATTTGATTTTCAAGCGTAAGGGGTTATATGTTAAAAAACACCGAATCTATATTTTGTTTCATATTATTTTTCCACCAATTTTCCGATCGTTCCTATGGCAGCTATATGATAAGACGTCCATATATGATTAAAATTAAATTTAAAATTCAGAACTAACTAAAAAATTTTATATCCAAGCGTAGGAGTTTATATGTTAATAAACACCAAAGAAATAATTTTTTAAAATGTTTTTTTCATATTATTCCAATGGGAGCGATAAGATATAGTTGTCCGATCCGGCTGGTTCCGACTTATATACTACCTGCAAAGTATATAAAACTTTTGGGAAAGTTTCAGCCTGATAGCTTTAAAACTGAGAGACTAGTTTACGTTGCAAACTTCTGACTGAAATCATTATACCCTCTGTAAGGGTATACAAAAGTGGCTCTAGTAATTTATATTAAGCATTTTCAAAAAATCATAAAAAATTATTTTTCCTGTTTCTATTTGTTTTGTAGTCACCTACAACTTTTGAAAATGGAAAAAAAACGATGAATTACTCCAAGAGCTTTATGATGTAACTCCGTTGAAATGTTACCAAAAAAAATATTAAATTAAAAAATATTTGTTTTTCGGTAGCCTTGTTACTATTGTTTTAAAAATAAAAATGTTATTGGTCAAAGTAATTCTTTCATTTAAAAATAAATAGAGGCCGCCACAATAATACCAGATATTCACCTTTTTCGAAAATCCCCTGTGAATGACAAATAGTGGTTCTTCAAATAGCATCCCTACATCATATTGAGAGTCGAGGTAAAGTTCGAAATACCAGCTTACTGTCTTTCCGTTTGGTGGGCCCTAGTGACCTCTAACTGTCCCGTTTATTGGTTGAGCCGTCAAAAATTCTCCCTCAGAACAAGCAGAATTCTTCGCAAGAAGGCAAAAGGCGAAGTGTAAAACATAGTGATCGCAATAAACTCTTAAAAACCAGAGGCTCATATCGTTGGCAGGCATGTAGTTCAAATTTATAGCGGGGATATAAAGCCATCCAAATAAAACCATAAAAACACCCATGTAAAAGTTTAAGAATCAACAAACAAACTTAAACAATCAATTCAGAACCTTGAACAAGTTAAAACTGTAAATTTAATTAAAATGTTAAATACGTAATACCTAACACTTGCCATAACAACAAGCCAGCCGATGGGTTATTGAATGGAGATCAACGGACAAAACAATAATGTTATTTACAACTTCATCGAGCAACTTGAGTGGGTGATGTGTTATAACAAATAAAAGCTAACGGAGACAGCAGCCAATTAAAAATTAAGTACTGACATAAAAAGTAAAAGAAGCACAACAATATTATTCATTGTGACGTTTCCGAAACCATGCAGAAAGATAAAAGATATACGTAAATGTAATCTTCGATCGCCAGCTTGCCTACGGGTATTGCCTAACATGTACAGCTATTGTATTTGGTTTTTTGTTTTGATCATGATCTTTCTGTACCGGTTTACCTTTAGTTTGGCTGATAACGACTATTGATTATGCAAATTGTTATTCTCCCATATTTTCTATGCTAACCCTAATTTGTTTCAGTTGGTATTGTTGTGGGAAACGAAATAATTTTTATTGTAATTTAAACGCAAAGTAAAGTTAAATTAAATCAGAATCAAAAAAGGAATGAAAAACACTTGAACCCAGTTTAATAGAACTTATGTAACTACCAGGAATTTCTGGAAACAGCTTTTAAATGAATATCAGGCAGTTATTTTTACAATTTATATTATGAATTATACAGAGATACATATCACGATGAATTTCTAAGTTTTTATTAGACATGGCGGAATAAACTAACATTTGGTTTCATCTTTTTTTTGAGAGAAACATGGTCGGGTAGGTTAAGAAAACCTGTGGCCTCTCGCATCAACGCCACCCCCTTGCAATTCCTTGAAGATCGTACCTATTAACTAATTAGTTTTATTTTTGCCTTGGCATTTCATTTTAAAGAAGGTTTTGTTGCTCGTAGTGTCAAGTTTAGGCATCAGCAAGAACATACCCCACCCGGAATGAGCTACCGTTTTAAGGGTCCTAAATTGTCAACTCGTGGTCTTTCAACATCATCATGCAAGTGACATTCCAAACTAATCGTTCGACGTTATGTCCTACACTTCCATACCATTTCAGGTTCATTTCGGATCTAGGCTTCGAATGATTTTGCTGTTATTAGTTCGTAAAAAGGCATACAAATTGAAAATTTGGAGTTTGAAAACTATTTTCTTAAAGCTGTGACGTGAGGGAAAGTTTTCAAGCCTTGGGTAGTAATCTACAGGTAAACGCCTTTTAGGTTTATCTGTGTATTATGTCGACCTTTGTAATTATAAGGGTAAATAGTGTGATGAAGTCGAGCTGAAAATAAAAGATCATTATAGCACCTTACCCAATTTTTCACCACAGAAGACACAGTTTAGGTACTGGGTCCATATTAAGGCCCAGACAAAGAAAACTACACGAAGATGAAGGGTTCGGTAGTTAAAGCGGTGTATCCTCCACTCCGGGCGAGACTCCATCATAAATTCGCAGGTATAAATACTATTAATTCACTGGTATTCTTACAAATTTTGTATTAAACTATGTTGTTACTGGGAGTCACCGATGTTCCAGTATGTCTTTAAGCAGTAGCCGCTTTTATTGCGAACTTCCCCTAAGTTACATGTATAACTCCTTGCTTCTTAGCAAAAAGTTTTTTTACTTCCGGCTACGAATTGTTAGTCCACAGCAGCAACGGGTTCTATTCGGAGTTCAACATATATTTTGGTAAATTCGATAAGTCGGAATTCTTGAGAGTAAACCTTTCCAATTCCAAAACCAATATAAGTGTGAATTTTCAATTTTAAAAATCCATGTCTTAAAATATTCCGAAGGTGATATCTGTAAGGAAGAATGAGTATGTTAATCTATGAATTGATTCAAATAGTTATTTAAATTCTAAAATTAAGAGCTCCCTCCAGTACCTATCAATTGACCTGAACAAACCACGAACCGCTAGAAATTGGGTATTAATCATGTTAAATGTGGCGCCCACAATTTCAAATATAACAATTTAAAATACAGTTTATTTTAAATAAGCAATAACCTTACGCCCTTATCTACCAACAAAATCATACATACCCCCAAGCAGCAGTTTTGATTAATATAAAGCGCATGTGAACAATATTATCCCACCTATACCAGAAGCTGGAAGATGGCCAGTATATATCTGTTTTGGGCGACTTCAACCAATCTTCGCTCGTGTGGGCTCTTGATGTTGAGTTTTCAGCAATGGTTCCCAGTAATTTGCATTTTCCCCACGAAATCTTTGTCATCGATGAGCTTCTTAGTATGGGATAAGTCCAGATCAACCATGAATTTAATAACTTAAGTATAGATCTAATTTTTGTACATCCTGATTTAAGCCCGAATTTATGTTGCAGCGATAATCCTCTAGCCGCGTGTGATGCTCATCACAAGCCCCTATTAATCTCAATTACTTGTTATATTTATTCACCAAATAATTCTCGCGTGCCTCTTACTTATATTAATTCTAGCAGTTTAGATTCTATCCGTAATGATATTTCAAACATTAGATGGTTAGAATTCCTCTCGCATGCTGAAGTGAATACTAGCTATGAAGTTTTTTTTTGTATTTTCTCTATACTATTGTAGGCAGATACGCTAAAGCTAGAGTTCGAAGTAGTTATAAACTACCATGGTACACAATAGGACTAAAAAAATATAAAAATATATATATATATGATATAGAGCTTAAATTAATTACCAATCCTAAATCATTCTGGGACTTTGTCAATTCTAAACGAACAACCTCTTATTTTCCTTCCCATGTGTCATTTGAAAGTCTTTCAGCTTCCTCGGATATTGGGGTCCCTAATCTATTCGCTAAGTACATTGCATCTAACTTTGAACCGAGCTCGCTGTGGAATGAAGATGTTTCACTCAGGGCCATTGCCACGATGCTAAATATTGGGTGCTTAGATGTCACTGATTTTGACCGCTATATGGCGGCTGAGAGTTTTAAAGACTCAGAAAAATTTAACTGCGATTGCCTTTCTCCATTTATTTTGGAAAACTGTATAGTTCTTTGTGAGCCCCTTAAAACCTGAGCCCCTTTAACCTGTATCTTTCCACTGGCGTATTTGCTTATTGATGGAAACTTGCCACAGTTTCTTCTATATTCAAGTCTAGTTACAAAAATATTGTTTTAAATTATAGGCCAATTGCAAAGCTAAGTAATGTCTTGAAAATGTTTGAACGAATTGTACACAGAGAAAAAAAAATACCAAAAGTGGTCATCAATCGGGTATTTTTTCATATCAATTTTGATTCCTTATGTTGCCATATCATATTCATATTTTCGAACATATGACATTGATATTTTCGAACATGTCAATTTGGTATTTTTCATACCAGATTGATATGAGCACATATCAAAGTTGTAACCAAATTGTGGTATTTTTTAATATGCAACTGATATGCTTTCATATTAAACTGATATGCTTTCACATCAAACTGATATGCTTTCATATCAAACTGATATTTTTTTTGTATCAATTTGACATTTCTTTTATTTTAACACGTTATGTTTTTCCATATCAAATTTATACTTTTTCATAAAAAACTAATATTTTATCATGTAAATTTGTACTTTTAATCATTTTAACACGTTATGTTTTTCTATATTAAACTGGTATTCTTTCTTATCAAACTGATATTTTGTCAAATCAATTCGACACTTAACTCATACCCAGAGAAACAAATTTGTAGTTTTATTTAAAATTTATTTTCTAGATTAACGTATAGAACCACAAAAATAAATTATATAAACACTGATTAAAGTTAATAATATTTAAGCTAGAAACCATTAGTTAGAACTAATAATGTCACCTTTCCTTTATATGTTGGTGTCGTATCCCCTGCGCAGACATCAATGTGCTAAAATTTGAAATTATTACAACCTATTATGAAAATATTTAAAATTAAACTTACTTGTGCTCGCTTCCATTTTTGGAGTTTCTCGTGGAACTCGGATTTCAGACCAAGATGTTCTCTCTTGGAAAATATTAAATCAAGATCTGAAGCACTAATGTACTGCAGCCTTTCGTAGTTGTATCCACACTCTAGGAATATATTGCAATAATAAGTCTCAACTAATAATGGCTTACACATGTATATATATATATATATATATATATATGTATGTGCAAATATGTTGATTTATAAAAACCTAAAAGCAGGTCAAGCACAACCAAATCGACCTCGAGGTCCGTAGGGAATTGAAGCAAAAGTGGATCCTCCATGGTACTTCGACAAACTAATGCACAAATAAAGTAATTTAGTTAAAATTATACATACTTACCAAGTAATTACATTTATAAACACCTTTAACTTTTCTTTTGTCACGTTTTACACTAAAATTGACGCAGTAAATAAAAGTGGGACCACCGCATACAAAGCGTAATTATACCGTTGTACACAGAATATACACAAAAAGGACGAATTTACAGTCATACTATTTTTTCGAAGACTTTTCGATGTTACGTTTGATATGAAATCTTATCAACTTGCTAAGTATTCATATCATTATGATACGGATTCATATTAACATTTAAAGTTGATATGATTTCGTATCATATTGATATGAATTCGAATAATTTTGATATGAAAAAATTGATATGTGAAAATTGAGGAGACAATATCAAACGGGTATTGTTCCGTTTTTTTCTCTGTGTAGCTAAGCAGCTAATTTTTCTTGCTGGTGGGATCATCAGTCCTAACCAACATGGTTTTATGCCTGGACGGTCAACTACCACTAACTTAGCTACGTTCAATCTTGTTTGCATCCACTCGTTTATCACGATTATTTAATGTCCTTTGCTCGTATGGCATTAGTTCCCAAATTCTTTCCTTAAGAAATTAATACCTGTACCTAGGAGTTATGTTTGATACCAAATTTACTTTCATTGATCACATAAATAACATAATTCCGAAAGCATACGCTATGTATGGGTTTGTAAAACGAAAATCGACGTAATTTATAGATTCGTTCATTAGGTCCAGATTGGAATATGCTTCGTTTGTCTGGAGTTCGACTGGTACTACACACATCAATCGTATCGACCGTGTTCAAAAAAATTCCTACCTTTTGCCCTTCTTTCTTTAAACTTTAATGACCCGGTCCCCTCTTACTCTGCGAAATGTCGTCTTGTGCACCTTTCTTCCCTACAAGATCGCAGAGCAACTAGCGCACTAGTTTTTATTTGTGACCTGCTGTCCTACAAAATAGACTGCCCTGCATTGCTGGGCAGCATAAGCTTTTCCGTGCCTGGAAGGTCTTAAAGGACATTTGAACCTTTTTTCATTCCAGCTTAATGAGCCTCTGTGTAGAGCCTTATTCTACTGCAACAAACTTCCATCTCACATGCGGCTGGACCAATGCTCACCCTTTACAATTACCATTCGTCTCTTAGTATTTAGTTTAGTAATAGTCAAGTAGCCAGTCCCTTCAGTTCCAAAAAAAAAGTTTCACTTGTGAATCACCTTGTGAATCCCGTGGGACATGTCCTCTTGCACAAGTGAAGAACAAGTCCGCATTTTTACTAGTGAAAATTCAAATGAAAATTTTTCGAAGTCCCACGGGATTTCACTTGTTCCTTATACTCATTTTTCGTATGGCCTGCCACGTGCCGGTGACACGTGAAATCACTTGTGAAAATCAAATTTTTTCCATGAGTTTTCACTTATGAAATCACTTGCAAGTGACACGTCCCAAGTGAAATCACTTGTGAAAATCAGAATTTTTCCCATGAGTTTTTACTTATAGAATTTAAAATACATAAATTTGTATATACTTTTAAATATATTTTAATTAAATAATGTTATTTAGGTTTTCTGTTAAGGGACAATTATTGTTAGTAAGCCTAATTTTATGTTACGTTAATTTGCTTTTTACATTGGTCATCGCCTTCCCTAAACCTTTGTCCGGGTCCTCCGAATCCTTGGCCAACGCTCCTGATAAAAAATTATGGTCATATGCTTAAAAAAATGCGTTTTATTTGTTTATTTGCATATTTACCTTTTAGAGCTGTGTTTCACCCTTTGCAGGATTTTTATTGGCGCAAAACATTTCATCATCCACTTTCGGCTAACGGAACCCATTGAATACCTTAATACTTTAAACTAAGATCAAGGCACAACATCTTCAACTTAATGTAACACTTACCTGACTTTATTATTTTCACTTTAAAAAACGAAAGAAGTAAATCTGCTGCGCACAATTTAAATGGCTTGCTTCCCTTTCAATAACTCAAACAGAATGAATGATTTCTCTTGTTTTCTCTTCGCAGTAGGCGCGTGCCACTGCACCTATACCCTTTCTAAAGCGAAAAATATCCGACTACATAACTTTTACTTTTTTTAGTAAAAAATATAAAAAGGAATTCTTCAAAAATGGTACTATTGAAATGTTTTAAATATTTCAATAAATTTTAACGAACTAAATTTCTATAACTTAACTAAAAAATTATATTGTAATATTAATGTATAATACGTAAGCATTACTATAATCAAATAATTTACTTTTACAAAACAATATTAGTTGTTTTTTTTCGATATACAATAATGCTCCTAAAATATTAGGGCACTCACATGTCGCTGCGCCACGAAAATTTTTCCGCCGAAACATTAGTCGCTAGCCGGACATAACGGAGAGACTCAAAAGAAGTAACGGACCTGCCGAAATTTGTCTCTGAGAGCGCCGAGTGCAGGCAGATTATAAGACAAAGAAAGAAAGGGAAGCTCCGAATATCTGCCTCTCTTTGTTGCACGATCGTTTTCGTAGGCAGTCTTCTACACTGCGCCTACTTCTCTGCTGACGT